GAGCTTGGCAATCTGTGTGTATTAAATAGAGCTGGGCATCCTGTGTGTATTAAATAGAGCTGGACATCCTGTAACCATGTAAGGTGGAAATTCTGAATGCAATAAGAAAAATGCAACATGACAACAAATTAAACAACTTGCTTATGTTTTCCCATTAAGATGCTGTTGCAGCGAAAAAAAAGATGGTAATCTAATGATGCCATATCTGGAGAACATGGTAGGTGGGGAAGAACTTCCCAACCCAACTCCATAATCTTGTGTTGCGTCAAACGTGCCACATGTGGACATGCATTGTCGTGGAGAAGAAGAACACCTTTACGAATGACGAGTGAAGGGCGTTTCTGATGACAAGCTTGATTGAAACGTTCCAGTTGTTGACTATAGATCTCTGCAATGACAGTTCGCTGTGGATTGAGGAGTTTGAAATTAATTATGAAGAGACGAAGCAACGTTCACACGTTGGAAACGATGATCATCGGAAAGTTCGTGAGGCACCCAAACACCTTCTTTATGGAGTTTTCCCATATTCCTCAGATGTTTACGTATTGTTTCATGAAAAAGATGCAATTTTAGGGCCAGTTCACAAGTGTGTTGCCTTGGGTTAGACTCAACAAGCATCTTCAGAGCATCAATATCAATTCCAACATGTCGGCCCTGCCATCACAGTTTTTAAGGCTAAAGTCACCTGAACGAAATTTGCTGAACCATCGTTGACACTTACGAACGTTCAAAACATTTCCATAAACTTCTTTGATATTCTTTATGGCTACAGAGGCGTTGTTTACCTTCTTGTATTCGAGTATACTAAACTTTACACATTATATAGGCTACACTAACGTGACGTTTAAGCGGTTCATTTAACTATTATTTGTGATGGACATTTTTTGGGTGTGGTTATTGAAAGTGTTCCAAAACACGACACTAATTTCTTGACGACCTAATACATGTAGACCAGAATACATAAATGTTACAACACGAGTTCCAATGGTTACAACATACATAACTATAATTAGACATTATGTACAATTAAAATAGTGTATTTTTGTGTCATTATTTAATTACAAAATTTCGGTGTGTTGTGCATATACTGTAGTTTGAACTGATTATTTAGCTTATCAGCTAATCTTTATACAATCTGGAAAACTATAACAACAATAATTATTTACATAAAAGTAAAATCTGGTGTAATAGATGTTGGAAATTCACTAAATAAGATTATTTTTCTACAGCAATTTTTCAAAAACTTGCAATAAAAACCAAAACATATATACGTAGAAGATGTCCAACATTTTTTGTTTACTAAATAAGAATACCTAAATAATGAGGCTAAAGCAACAATTAAAAGTTTGATCTCAACTCTTTAACAGAATAAAAACTTATGAACTTTGATTTCATTCGTAATTTTTTAATAATACTATTTGATAAAAAATATCAGTATTTCTACTTTTTTTTCAATAAAATAATCTGTCTTCTTTCATTAGTATATCCTAAATATTAAAAAGCCTTTGAATCACACATTTGCAGACGTTGCAATACATAAACATTATTCTACTTTAATTTAATATTCACTATAAAAGTCTTACCTAAGATGACAACTTCTTTTGTTGCTTCTCCTAGTAATGCTTCCTTATATTTTCTCAAACTTTCATCTTCTTGATCGGCTTCTACTATTTCTCTTAAAGACTTCTCAGGTGGAGGTTTGTAGTTCAACTCTTCTTCATGCTCATCTTCTGTAATTTCAGTTTGCTGTTCTTCCTTGTCATCTGCCATCATCAACTACAGCACAAAATGGGTATATACACGTGTTTCATTCAAACAGTTCAAGCTTTCATCTCTGCTTTAAACAACAATAATGATCATTAAATGTATTCATCAACTTCTTTAATATATGTCGGTAACAATCAAAATTCAATAAACTATTCACTCGCATATATATTTTATTATTTCAGCAACTGTACAAGTTTAGTCAATCATTTCATTTCTCAAGGAATTAATTCATTTTATTAGTCAAACTTTTTGCCAGAATAGAGTAATAATCTAGACAATTTGGTTTTCTGAAATATGAAGCTCTCTGTATAGTGTTTTTGCAAAAAAATAGTTTTATCTCATCATAAGTATCTTACAGATGTAAATAACTCATGATTCAAATTCTCTGCTTCTAATATTAAAAAAAAAGTGTTTTTGTGTGTGTGTGTGTGTGTGTATATATATACATAATCAGTAACTTGGCATTTAGGCTTCTAAAGTTTAACCCTATTACTATAATATTCAACTTAACATTTCTAACATTATCATTCCACAACCAAAACAGACAAGTCATAGTCCCGCACGACAACTATTTATATTCTAACAATTCAGAACCGTTGAACAAATATTCCCTAATTATTTTGCAATCCAAAGAAACTAGTCTAAAACTCTAACACCTCCTCCCTAGTTATTATTTAATGTCCCCCTTTCTATACTTTTCCAACATGCTAATATCCTTCCTGTACTAGAGACTAAGCTGCACGCAATGCTCCGAACGAGACCTCACCACTCTTGAACAATGTTATAATAACATTTATGCTCTTAAATCTAATTTTCTAAAAACAAATTATTTGTTATTTTCATCACAGTTAAAACTCACTAGGGATTTAGGGTTTTACCTCGTAAATTCTTCACTTTATTTTTCCCACAATACTAAATATTTTCTTTATATAAAAAATAAATCCTTTCCAAATTTCTATACCACAAGTACATAACTTTACATTTCTCAAAACTAAAATTCATTTTTCACATCGAGCCCTATTCACTAATGCAGGAACTGAAGACAATACAGCAGTTTGAATTAAATGCATATAATGGTTTGATATCAACCAGATGTCACAAGCAAAAAAACCTAACTCTGTAGAATCAGATTACATACAGACAAAACAGCCTCCAGTTGAGACAGGGGCTACACTCACACAGTTCATGTAATTATACATGTTATAAATAACTGTGAACAAAATTAAATACAGTATTTAGTGAAAACACTGTGGCAAAAAAAATATAAACATACAAATCTGTCTTTTATTGACCACTACACAAAATACACTTTCCAAAGGTATTCTAACAATACACATCTTCAATAAACATCTTATTTTAACCATTGGTCTATGGGTCTTACACATGATGTCACTAAACTTCCTGTTACATTAAAAAAAAGTCATGTTCAACAACAAATACCCCTTTCTAGCAAACCAAAGGCAATTCATATCAACACAAGCTTTGTTAAAGCTTTACATGCTATCAGTCATAAACATCACTTCTGGCAAAAAAAGTCTATAACTCTATGGCCATTCAATTTCTTGATATTTTTTTCTTTCAAATCATTGAGATGGTTTATAACATTAAATAAACAGTAGAAGACAACTTATTCTGTCATTAAAGTGGAGGAAAGTACTAACCATGTGAATGTATATCATCAGTGCAATATCTCAATAGAAATGCACATACGAGATCATGTTTGGTTATTTTAAAATAATTTTAACTTAGAAGAGGTATCTAGAAACCCCGGGGTGTTGGTTTAGAGTAGGGTTGTTTTGTTCAATTAAAA